TATTTTCCTTTTCTAAGTATGAAACTGGAGTTCCTGATAGAGTAAATACATATAATCACAGAGACTGATAGAAGACGGTATAAGACTGAACACCTTGTCTTTTGACTCATCAAGTGTTTCATCAAGTGAAGTTGATCTAACTGGTTAATAGGAGTGAGAGCTTAAATATAATTTATCAAATGTAAATAACCATAATAGTACATGTGGAGTTACCAAATAGAATAGTGTTTGAGACCTGCTTATAAATTATTCATTGTGTATCTAAAATTCAAATTGATTGTATTTCCTACATTTTAATGTGCTGAGTCTGGCAGCTCTAGTTGTACTACTCAAAGAGATATTCAGCTTCCTTTATAGTCTGTTTGAGAGAGAGAGAGAGATTCTGATTTCATTTGAAGTTGACAACACAGGAAATACAAGACCTGCCAAATATAACACCCGTTTTGATAGGCATAGCCAAAGTAAGTTAAAGTGAGCTAAATGTATGCATACTGAGCAAGTCTCGCCTGTACCTAACGCCCACTATCAAATGTAGAATGTCATTAATATCCACGCCTTCTCCTCAGGTGAGAAAAGACACGACCTTATATTTTAATGAGTGTAGAAGTTATCTGGCAGATAGTTCAGCATTTTCTGGTGCCATACAGAAGAAATTTAATACTTGAATGTATCTTCAAATTTTCTACCAGGTTGCGAGGGACTCTGGAAGCCTAGCTCTGGCCTCAGGATAGTAAATGTGCTGGAGAAAAGAGGACTAGGAGTAATTTGTCCCAGTTTCCCATGATTAGGCCCTGAGCTCTAGGTCAGGTGCTGTCGAAAGAAAGCACTTTAAAAACTATTATATTACAAGTACATTGTTCCTACGCTCCACAGAAGGTGAACAATGCTCTGCTTTGTCCTCAGAATAAAAGTTAAAGGCAATGTAGTCAATAATTTGACATTTTTAAAACATCCAAGTTAATCTTAAATTGCAGAAAAGACCTAGGCTTTCATTTTCATAACAAGTAACTAAAGCTCAGACTTGAAGCGACTTTTTAATATTTGGCTAAAGTCTTGCTAATAAAGGGCAAATAAATATAAGTCATAGACCCCCTAAATTTCTAATGATCAAAGGTTACTATAAATATATCACAAAGAATAACAGAACCTATCCACAAATAAATTGCATTTTTTATGGTGAAAGCAGAATTATGTATTTGTGTGTTGTAATGAGTCCTTTTTCTGTTGTAAGAATCCATGGTCTGTCTCCAAATTAATGCATTTGGCTATATCTTCTTGATTAGATCTCTTGCTGTGTGCAAGAAGGGAAGTAAAAAAATCTATCTACTTATAATCGGTGCTGATTATATTGAAAATGATTGCATGATTGGATATTCAAGTACATTTAATTAAAACTTCATAGTACTCTAATTTTCTTTTAACAATTGATTAAAGTTGTGTAAATAAACATCGCATGCATCATTCCATTGTTTATAGATACATTTCCAGTATTAGAAAACAAATTTGTTTAAGGGCACACATTTTATTTAGGAGTTTGGCATGGTGTTAAAAATACAGACTCCATTATCAGATTGTCCAGTAATCTGAATCTGAATTGTGGTTTCATTATTTATTTGCTGTATGACCTTGGGGAAGTCCTTCAACTCTTTGAACTTCAGCCTTTAATCTTCTAAAGAAAGAACAACTCTTGCTACTTCATAAACTATGTGGATTAAAAAAGTTACTCTGGAGAGAATTCTTAGAATGCAGTCTAGCATGATGAACTCTTTAAAGTATGTTTGGTTGTTAGTCATGGATCTTTATGATAAGATTTATAACTTCTACAGAGAATGAGATGATTTCAAAATGGTACATAAAAATCCCTGAGAAGTAAATCTCAATATATGTTAGCATTTAGATAAATAACAAGAAGCAATATTTATTAAAAATGACCATGAAACATTCCTAAAAATAGTTTTATATACAAGTAGTTAAAGGCATATTTTGTTGTTGTTGTTGTTGCTAGTTTCAGACATTAACAATAATTATATTTTTATGTTTATACTTGATATCTAACATCTTCTTGAAGGGAACTAATACATTCCTGTAATAAACTCATGAATTTGGGGAATTCTAAGAAATTTGTAAAAGTACATACTATTCTTTAAATTATGGTGCTTATACAATGATAGTGAAGAATGATTTTCTCTGAAGTTGTAAGTACAAAATGCATGGCTTTTAGTTTTTTTTCTTTGCTTGTTTTATGTTTCATTTTTCCCCTTGCTTTTTGTGAGAGATTAATATTGGTGAAGCGGGCTGGGGATTTAGCTCAGTGGTTCTGCCACCTGCCTCGCAAGCACAAGGACCTAAGTTAAAAAAAAAAAAATATATATATATATAGGTGAAGCATTTTTTAACAGTTCAACATTAGAATATATACTAAAAGCTGCTCTGAACTCATATAAACAGCCATTTCTTTTTTTCTCTCTCTCTCATTGAGTTGATTGATACATTTTAGTTATACAGTGCAATTACATTCATTCCTGGGCTCTTGTACCTTTACATGACAGGTCTTCTTTCTCATTTTTTCCCCTTATCCCTGCCCTCTCTTTGCCCTCTCCCTCCCTCCCCATTGACAACACTTTATTTCCATTTTTTCATTTTCACATATTTTTATCTTTTCCCTTATTATCTTTCCCCTACCCTCCCACTTTCCCTACACCTTTAGCCCTTTTCTTCCTATTTCACATTGTCAATTATATCATTAGGATCTTATGTACTGTTATAGTTTAGTCACACCAGAGAAATTCGGCATTTACACATGTGTGACTTATTTACTTCACTTAGGAGTATATCCTCAAGATGTATCTATTTTCCTATGAATGAATCTAATTTCTCATTCTTTATGGCTGAGTAGTGTTCCATTTTATAGAAAAACCACATCTTCTTTATCCTGTCTCCAACTGATGGGCAAATGGACTTAAACAGCCATTTCTTGATGAGAAATGTTTCCTATATTCCTTATTGAAATGTTGCATTTGCAAAAGTTTAAACATTTATTTTGATTGTATAACCCATATTTCATACAGATTATTATTGTATTTTTAGGGGGAGGAAGAAAGGGATAGAAGAGTGTAGAAGCTTTGAAAGAAAAATGATAGAATAAACTACGTATGTTATATATTAATAAAGTACAATAATATAAAATACTCTATATATATATCTATATCTATATACATATAGATATAGATATGGATTATTCATAGGAAATTTTCCCCACCTCCCTCTCATGTATATTTCCTGGGAGCAGAAAAGGAAAAAAATGACCCCCTTCTTGGTATAAGTGATATAGAGGTAATATAAAGTTTAATTCCCTGGAGGTGGAGGGATGGAAAGTGAAGTGAACAGTATATTAAAACATCTAGGAAAAGGAGCATTTGAGGTTAGTTCAGCAGTTAATATTGTTTAGAAATTATATTGTTTACAGTTATGTGCTTATAGCAGAGAATAACAATACACATTACGGTGTGCACATGTGGTAGAAAAGGAAAAATTGAAGTTATTGGGATGAAGACAGCACAAGTAACAGAAATGTTAAGAACATAAAGGCGCACACTCAGCTGTTAGTCTAGAACGTTTGGAAATCAAGAGAAAAACAAACTAACCTTCTATATTTACTGAACAAAAAGAACTGCTTAGTCTATAAGGTCAATAAAAAGGAGTAACCTTTTTGTGTTAATAAAAACATCTCGGTCATGAAATATTAGCCCTGTACGTCAAGTGTTCAGCAGAAGTGACATAGGTATTAGGAAGGTGCCCTAAAGGGCTCTGTGCCAGTGCTGTGCACAGTAAGGGCACACTCAGAAATTAGTTTTGGCCTCTGGTGGACAGTAAATCTGCCTTGGCTCAATAGAAATCATCACACAGACCAAAGGAAATTGAAGACCCAGATGAGATGAAACTAAATAAAATAAAGCCCTGCAAGTCAGAGGAAAACACTGCTAGACATTTCCATGGCAGCCTCCTGACACAGAGTCCCTGGGCCAATCTTCTGCTGATTATCCTTGCACAGTGTGGAAGACCTTGAGTCCACACTGACTTTGCTGCATCCTCGATGCATAAAAGCAATCATCAATACTTAAGACAAGTAAAGATCACTTTCTCATCCTATAATCACTATTAGATTTTCTTTTATTTTCTCATTTGCAAAAGAATGAGGAACACAATGACTAAAAGATATTTGGAAATGGCTAGACCTTTTGCTAGCTCTAATTCTTTCTCCAAGGTTTCCTTTCTCTTTGAGGTGGGAAAAGGACAGTGTATAATCTAAGAGAAGAAATTCGATGCCAAGAAAATTCTATATTCAGGCTTCACCTCTGGTCATAATTTCATTTAACCTGTCCTTTAACATAGCTAGGAGAAAGGAGGCACCTAGAAGAATCTCAAATCCATGTAATGCTTATATATTTTATCATGGCTCTATATAAGCTTAAAAGGATATTAAGGAGACACCGCTTTCAATGCTAAATAAATAATGCCAGGTGAGACTAGGAAATGCTCTTTCTTTGACCCACCCTCTTCTCCCTTGCTTCTATGAGTAGGGGTGGGACTCAGAACCCATAGCTCTTCCCAAAGATACCTTCAAAATTCTGTTCTCACCTTTTTTTGTAACTTTCATGTCTTATGTAAGTGCTACAGTGCCTTCTTACAGTATCATCCTCCTCACCCATTCTACATATAGCCTATTGTCTAAACTATTATATTATCTTTTAGTATTTCAACCAAAACTCCCATTTTAGCATCCTGTCATGTCAAAATTTAACTGCTATATGAAATCTTAGTACTGTTTTGCCTATAATTTGTCTATTTCACAACTTGGCTTAGGACTGACCCAGAATTATGTTGACATTTTTGCACTCCTCATAATATTTAGCTTGGTAGTTAAGTGTTAGAAAATGCCCATTGAATACACTTTGACTTGAATTAGTGAAAAATAAAACCTTATTCATTTTCATCTTTAGTTTCAGGAGCAGCGTTATGTCTCTCAGGATCTGGTAACCCTAGGAAGTTGCAGCTTGTTGAGAAAGTCTATTATATCTCTACTTCTCTCAGAAATAAACTGCTTTGTTGACGAATTGAGAGCCATCGATCAGGTACATAACACTCGAAACTGTAACTCTTATTTATAGTTAATATAACTACAAGATATTATTTTCTTTCCCTTTCTTCCTTCTCTTCCCACCAGGCTAATATTTGCCAGGCTGATGCTTTCTCTCCAATTTATGTGAAAACTATTGCTGCCTGCTTAATTGCAGTAGTTTTCAAAGTAAAATCATGTTGTCATCCTGACTTGTGTATGTGTGCCAGAAGTCCCGGTGGTGCCAGCAAAGTAGTGTTTAGAGGAATGGACTTAAATCTCTCCAGTCAGACAATATGCTCCTAAGACAAAGACATGAGAGAAAAACAAAATGGTTAGGATCCTGAATGGAGAGTACCTTCTGACCAGTGTTTCTCATGCCCAATTGTCCTAGAAAATTGTCTGGCTAACTTTTAAATATTCTATTGCCAAGCCATGTACTAATCAAGTTAAATATTAGGATTAGGCTGGGATATCAGGCATTGATTGACAAAGCCCTCCAAATGATTCCCATGTTTCTAGGTCACAGACTAGCCCTTTTGTGTGTACATATGTCATATTCCAGTTTTGAAAAATGTATGGAAACAATATAAACAATTCTCATGCTTTGATACTAACACTAGTTTAACTTTGTCAACTCATTTATTGTTAGCCTCTGTGTGATAAAATTAAAAGCATAATTCAAAGAAGTCAGAGAGGGTTGGAAATACTTTCACGAAGAGAAAGAAATTTAATAATAAATAATATATGCACATGATTTTAAAAGCTTTTATCTAAGTGCTTCCAAGTCTCTATGTTTAAAGCCATAGTTTAAAACTAGTATGTAATTTAATTGAATTCGCTGCATGACATGTTACCTAGTCAGCAGTTATTCAAGGGATTAGTAATTGCCAACATTCTTAGAGATATGATACCGTCACAGTTTTCAAGGACAGATAAAGAAGTTGCATTGACTAACTGAAAAAAATGTCGAAGGAAATGTATGGTGGTGTGTGGTGGCCAAGGTCAAGGGACTGGTTGCAGTAGGCTCAGAGTTCCCCAAGAAACCTTCATGGAAAAATGATTTGAGTCGAAGTAGAGGATAACAGAATGCAGATGAATTGGGATGTTACTTAACAAGAGATGTGCCGGGATTCTGAGGGAATACGGTGAGATCTCTGCATTTAACAGAGTGAAGTGATGGGGACAACAGTGAGTTGTCTGTACGGAGAATGACAGGAAGCACTGAAGAGTAAACACCAGTTAATACGGTATTCTAATTTGGCTTCCACAATAGCAGCACAGAGTATTCACACTCCTTACCTAGTTTATTGATAGAGAAAGCAAATCTTAGAATTGTTAAGCAACATTGCAGGAAGAACAGGTGTTAAAAGTCACAACTCAAACCCAGGTGTTCTGACTATGAAGTCACTGTAAAATAATAACTAAAGAGTGACAATAATGGTAAACCAGTAGCAACTAGCTTTTATCAGGTATGTGTGTTCGGTAAATCATATGAATTATTCCAGTCAATCCTTTCAGCAACCCTTCAAGATGTCAGTACTCATTAGATGGGAAAACTAAAGTCAGTATTCTTAATCGTAGACAAAATACTCTGCAGCCAATTTAAATAGTAAAGGATTCATGAAGAGCTCTGGAATTGTTGGAAGGGGGATAAAAAGACTCCAGGCTGCACTTTCATGAATTAGGCTACCATAAGGATTGCTAACTTTATCATCATTTTTCATTCCACTTGAAAGTAATAGTTTGTAATGATACTCAGGATTAAATTTCCTAATATCTTCAAAAACATGTATTTTGTACTTTTTGGAACTGTTTTCTTTATCAATTGATTAAGATTAAATTCTTTATTAATTCCTTTTAGAGTGTCAGAACTTTCTCACCATGATTATAATCTTATGGCATAATCACCTAGCTTTCTATTTATTTTTAAGTAACCTTTAAAAAGCAGCTCCTTGAGGGTGGCCCTGTCTAACTGCCTACACGATATCTAATTAACTTTCCTATCTGCAATATTCCTCCCTTCTGAAGAACTACCCCTACCTGCTGTGAGAGGGCAAAGGGCAAAGGCAGCTCTGGCTACTTCCTGCTGAAGAGGGTCATAGTTGTGATCAGCAGTTAGTTACTCTACAGAGGGTCTATCTAAAGGCCTTCCATAGGTGCCAGGCATTGTCATCTTGGTAGATGCATAGCTTTTAAGTCTGGAGAAAAAGCCAAAGAAACAGTTAAGAATTCATGGGCCAAATTATAAGATCTGCAGCACTGCTATGAATATAACCCACAAAGAAGATAAGATTCCAGGGGACTTCACACTTGTAAAAGAGAGAAGCTACTACACCCTTGTGCTTCCCTGGGAATGAATAGCACTGATTGATATTCTAAATAGGTATCAATCACCTGGGTGGGGGGCTAAGGTCTTAACCCAGCCTTCCCAGGAACTATCCCTGACCCCCACCCTTCCTGAAAAATCCTCCCCTACCAAGACCTGTCATGTGAAGGTACAGGATCCCAGTAATGAATGTAACTGTATTGTATACCTAGATTGTACCAATAAACTCAATAAAAAGAAAAGAAAAACCCTCCCCTATTTGACCCCCATTTAATCAATATTACCTCGGTGTAATCTTATTAGTTGCTCATGGTTTTGCCCCACCTCATGCCCACCTTGTAATTTCCCACTGGGTTTTATAGTTTTGTCCCACTTTGTACCCACCTCACCACATGGCTTGGCTGTATGAAACATCTTTGAAAAGTGGGGTCAGTGGGCAACCCACTTTCCAGTCCCCTTTCTGTCTCTTAGACAGAAGCTTTCTTTCCCTCAATAAATTTTTCCTACTCTTAAAAATAAATAAATAAATAAATAAATAGCAGCTCCTATAGCATTTCATGCAGTGCTAATAGGATTCTCTAACAACCTGAGAGGTTTGGCTGTTTAAATCTGAGCAAACAATCAAGCTTCTGACTTTAATTTCACAATCATTATGCCTGTGAGAACTTCTAGTCAAAATTTTTGTATCTCTTTTCTTTAATGATTCCTTACTCTTTCATATAGAATCTGAGCAATTAACATCTATGAAGAGCCAGACAGTATATAGTTACAGAACATCCATTGGTGAATAGCTCCATAGAAAAGCAATAACCCTGGTTTTAGTAATTTTTCTGTTTTTTTTCTTGTTTTATTAAGATTAATATATATATATATATATATGTCTTTGTGATGTACAGTGTTATTATTGTATGCACGTGTATACAACATTTAGTGATCAAATTAGAATAGTAACTGCTTCCCCCTCCTCAAGCATTAGTCATCCTTATATTTTTGAAATTTCTGCCCTTCTAGTTATTTTGAAATACTTCATAGATTTATGTAAATAAGTTACTTTTCACTACTATAGAAAACCAGAACTGATTTCTTCTATTTTTGTGTGTCCTTTATCTAATTTCTTTTCTCGCCTTTCCTCTCTCTAGTGACAACCATTCTTTTATGAGATTGACATTTTAGTATCCTCAGGTGAATGAGAAAATGTGTTATTTCTCTCCAGTTTACTTAGCATAATGACCTCCAGTTCCACCCATGTAGCTGAAAATGACATTTTTCACTGATTTTATGGCTGAATAATATTCCCTTCTGGATATATGGCACATTTTCTTATCCCATTTATTTGTTTATAGAAACTTTAGGTGACTCCATACCTTGCCTATTGCGAACAGAACTGCAATAAGCTTGGGCATGCAAATTAATTCCTTGCTTTCTTGCTTGATTTCAGTATTAGAGAGTAAACTCAGGGCCTTTGCACTGAGCTACACCCCCACCATCCCTTTGTTTTGCTTTGAGACATGGTCTTGCTAAGTCACTCAGTTGCCCAGGCCAGGATGGAATTTAAGATCTACTTACCTCAGCCTCCCAGAGCGCTGGGATTGTGCAGTGCAACACCCACCTCAGCCTTCTCTTAATGATAGTTCCATTTCCTTTGAAATATACCCAGTAGCGTATTTGCTGTGTCATGTGATAGGTCTGTTTTCATTTTTCCGAGGAACCTCCATACCTTTTCCATAGTGGCCGTACATATTCACATTCCCACCAACAATGGACAAGAGTGTCCCATTCTCTGCTTCGTTTTTACCTTGCCAGGAACCAAACCCGTGGCCCACCTTGTGTCTCCTAGGCCAGCACTACACTCAAGTTCCTCTTTGTATCCTCACTAGCCCTTGTCATTTTGGTCTTTTTGCTTATAGCCATTCTAACTTGTGTAAGGTGGTATCTTATAGTGGTTTTGAATTGTATTTGCCTGGTAATTAGTGATACAGAGTGTCATGCTTTGTGCCTGGATGTGCCCTCAAAGCCTCGCGCAGTCATAGAACTTTTTCAGAGGTGGCTGAATCTAGAGAGTGTGATGCTGGGACTAAGGTGTGTGATTATTAAATCAGTCCACTGATTGGTTTAGTACCACCCTGATAGTCTGGGTAACATAAAAGGGGCAGAAAAGCTGTTCAGGTTCCCTTGTTGCTTTTGCTGCCATGTGGGTGCCATGGACTGTTTCTATTCTGTGACAACCCCCTGCCATGTGCCACTCTTGTCTCTTGGAGCCAGCTGGTCATGGACTGAAACCTCTATAAACTGTGAGCTAAATAAACCCTTTTCCTTTTAACTTTGGGCACCAGGTATTTTGTCTCTGCAAGGAGAGAATTGTAACTAAGATGGAATTTGATATCCGAGAAGTGATGTCATTGCTGTGACTCTTCCTGATCATGTGGCTCAAGAGCCTTTGGAACTGGCTTGTGGGAGGGGAAAAGTTAGGAAAGATCTGAAAAAGGAGTGCTGAAACACTTTAGGCAGTACTGTATGGGAGATTCTGGTTAGAGCTCAGAAGCCCAGAAAGCCAGTAAAAACCAAGCTCAAGAGGTTTCTGGTAGAAGGACTGCATTGGCTGCTGGTCTCCAGAGGATGTGTATTATGCATTAGCAGAAAGTTTGTCTGCATTTTGCTTGTGTTCCTGAGACTGTGCCTGAGTCTGA